TGTCTAACATGATTGACAACGGTAGAAAATACTTTATATCGATTTTAGATATGATATAATGTAATTAAATCCATATATCTTTGTGAATATTGTTTTCTGCTACTATGTTTGTCGTTTTAAGATTAACTGGGTTTTTTATTTGATGACCTGCTGCTGTGTTCTCGTCAGGAATCAATAGTCACATGTGTCCCAAACACGTCATAACAATAAACGGGCCATCAGCGGCCTCAACTCTTCAGCCTCGCTATTCTAGTTACATCACCACAAGTGTTTAAACATCAATTGACACCACAGCTAATATTGACATTGTTTCAATTTTCAATATAATCACGTGACAAAACCAAACATCGCATAATTGACTCTTACGACAATGATGTCAAGCGTATTGGTGATCATGAGAAGTGACGCAAATGGTGGTGTTTCCTGTTGCACGACGCAAATATTTCTACAGACAGATCTCGATTGAGCTACACAGATTGTGCTCGTCTGTTGTTGTAGTGACAATATGTCAAGTTGAGCGATAGAAAAAATGTAAAATAATTCAGTCACGGTCAGATTTAACGAACACTTCAGATTTGTATAATGTATGAATGTATGAACTTTCGCATTGAAGAAAATGCTCAATGTTCAATCCGAACTCTTATTCTAAAGATTTAAGAATGGACTTCATTAAGCGACTTTATCCTAAGTTGTTAACCAGGGTTAATGAATTTTTAAAACAACATTAGATATATGTATTTCTTTTATTTTCAAACATAATGCTGGGAACTGCAATGCATTCTGGGAAACATTACATTAATAGCGCGTGGTATAGAATACTGCTCTATTCGCAATGGGATGCAACCCATGGGTAGTTTCGGTGTTACAGCTCAGCACTTTGTCAATGTTCATTCATTGTGCATGGCATGAGTCTTCAAAAGGCGATTGCCGTTTCTGATCAATTTTATATGAAATAGAATCTAATTAATCCTGCAATTCCTGTTTAAAAGGAAATGAAAGAATACAAAAAGCCAAAAACTGCTATGGAATAAGCGAATTTCTGCTAGGTGGAGATAAAATTAATTCGTATAGTAAAAAGATATAAAAAATGAACGCATGGAATGTGATATGTTTCACTAGTCAACTAATATACGTGCTTCCGAACAAAGCATCACCTTTCTAGTAAAAAACAAGTTAACACGTTCTGGGAATCAATAACAGAATACAATAGCTCTCCATGTTTCCTCATTCATTAGTAAACAGGTTCACGGATATATCGTTATCAACCCGGATATAAGATTAAGCACGCGCTCTATTAAATATTTACAATTTTAATCATTTATATAGCACAGTTTACGATTATTTACATATCCTTGATCATGGCTGACAGAACAAGTAATTAATTTTAAAAAGATTCTGAAGAAATTTAACAGATATAAAAACGATATTTTATTTTGGATGGTGTTATGTGTATACTCTCAAGTATTCACTTCTAACCTCGACATGAGATGGTATATTTAAATCTACTTGACAACATTAAATTGCAGAATGGATCACTTTCTGTTTATTTTGTAACACACTGACGCCTTAGGCGAGTAGATCTGTGAGCTAGACTCGGTAATGGTTCGACCTCAGCGGATTGATTACACCACGCGTGAACTGGTAGTAAAGCTTTTTGATTGCTGTCATACCATTTGTTTATTTACCGGTTAAATGGTCGGGTCACGTATCAATACACACTGATCGACAATACCGTTCTCGTTATATAACGAGACAGGCCTAAACGTGTCATTTTAAAGCTAGAAATTTGTTCATATCAAAATCAATCTTATCATTTTTTTTATTTCTATATAATAAAAATCACAACTGAGGTAAGATAGCCGTAAAAAACCAAAATAAACAAAAACAAATCCAAAACGAAATATACATTCAACTTCTAGTCGTTTTCATTCACATCAGTAACCAGACTCTATTTCGATGTTGTTGTTTATTACACGCCTTACAGGTACATTCGATCATAACAAATGTACCTGTCCATCTTGTGGTCATCATTACGAAATATCTAACGGATATTACGTAATTAAGGAATGTCACATGAGCTCATGTGTAATAATTGACCACGTGTTTGGCGAGAGTCAGTTATGATTTTAAGAGTGCTATGGTTTGGAGGGGACGATGTTGGGGACAATCCTACGATGTGTATACATTTTGATGACACATACTTACCTTGTCTACATGTTTATACCTACGTCATGTAACGTAGATGTCGTCGCATGTTAACGCGTACAAAACGCGTACAATTGTACTTATACGTAATGAAACATAACCAAGTCTTGTACAGGTAATACAAACACAAGCAAAGGGGGTTAGGGTGTTTACCAACATGGACACGCCTTCATACGTATGAACCATGCAAGATTTAATATATATCGTGCTATGATCAACACGGCTTGAGTCCCTGTGCACCTATGTAATGTTAAATCTTCATATTTAACAGCGTACCGGGTCATTCTTACTTATAAATACGTTCAAAACGTTAACAAATTTGGTCAGTCTTAAATTTTTCCGACAGTCCACTTGTACTTGCATATCAAACGCGATAGTGTGTACTAGATATTGAACCAGTTTAAATGATTCCCCCCCCCCAGGGGACACAGGTCCACGCGATTGGTGAAAGTGGAGATAACTAAAAGGGCTTAAGTATTTTGTTTAGAGTGTAAGTCTAAATAGGGAATTTTGAAATACCTAGGTAACCATCACATTAATTATGTTATAAGGTCAAAGAGATTGTGATACCACAGAATCAAAAACGGTGTTCTGAACACTGAACAATATGCTATCGACAATCTTAAGTATTAATCAAAATATGTACTAGAAAGTAACCATTATGACAGAAAAAACTACATAACTACATGTGATATCAATGTCTATGATACATCGTATTTTGAGAGTGTCGTTAATATAGTTTTATAAGTGTCAGTGACGTCGAGAATTCGAATTCACACCAATAGTATATAGGTGGAGTTTGATATTTCAACTAAGAGGATGACTATTTTTAGGTTTCTTATACAACTCATATGTAGGCTTAGATGATGACTAGTTAATGGATCATTAGATATAATTTTATACAAAATGATGTCATAACTCACGTGTTTATTACAAAGTACTAGTCGGATCTATAAATAACCGTGAACGTTAAGAAATATCCGCGCCAGTTGAACTACTGTCAAATAATGCTGATCGCTATTCACATTTAGAAAATATATGATATAATTATATAACCAGTGCAATATAGGGTTTTCCGCAAACTTCATAAGTTATCTAAATGACTAGTTGTCAAAGCAAAGAAGATCCAACCTGCTTTATGCATATATTCTTATTGTAACGTGTTCCTGTGCTCGGGTCGATTATGTTTACCAAATCTGGAGCCGTGAGGCCACGGCGGCGAAAACGTTCTTAACTGAGCGAAAAAAAGGAAAGAAAAGAAACCAATCCTATTTCCTTAAAATAAACTGCGAACGATTTTTTCATTTTTGAGAATCTAATCTTGATTGCGTGGGAGATTGTAAAACAGGACCCAATGCCTAGTGTTACATGATTTAAAATTATACTATAGGTTATCTCTTTTAGTCCAAACCATCATGAATCCGTCCAATTGTGTGGCGTCTCACTAGTGCTGAGGCCGAAGGAAACTCGGATCACACAGGTAAAGTATATACTAGTACCGCGTTTTTATGTGGTCTAGAACCTTCTCAAATAATCAAACATAGCTGGGTATATAATCAATGATACGGCAAGTTTTAGCACGCAAGCATGATAAACTACAATATATCATATACATTTAGAGTTATATAAGGAAAAAACGATTAAAGTTTTATTCTGATTAATATTTTAATAGATATAGGGATACATATCGCTATAATGAAATAACTTATGGATGAAACTATCAACCGACATGGCCGTTCAATATTAGTGGCACACGGGTCCCAAGCTAGCCACTTTAGTATATTATGGAAGTGTCGATTTAGCCAGAAAGTAAGGCAGAAACCTGGCATTGTCTATATGTATCGATTCGGTTTATAGAAATGAAGGTGTCTGCCTTCAGTAGCTGTTGTCCCTGATCGATAACATGTATACATGTACAATACAACCCCTGTTAGATCGGAGTCAGGTAGATCTAGTTTCGTTGTACCGTCTCAAAACATTTCTTGTTTTACTTTTAAAGTGCAGAAATTTGACCAGAAAAATGTTCTGTGCTTCATCATGATGAAAGCACTGTTTTGAGAGAGGAGCGATGTCTTTACAGTTTTAAGATGCACATTCGAGCAGCTATCGTGAGGGGATCGGAGCGATAAGGGTCATACGAGTACACAAAATATGATACAACAAAACATTGATGTGAGGAGGCGGAGTTGGAGGTGCGACACACAAGCCAAACCTATTAACCTGGTGATGCCGTAAATTTAAAGAAAGTGAATTACTTCCGTGGGAAGGAGGAGAGGAACATGGACAGGGGAAATAACTCGGGACTCGGCTATCCCCTTGTTTGTTTGGGCTATCACGTTTCAGGTTGTGAGACAAGGGAAAGCAAAGAGGAAAAGCGTAGGGGTCGTGATGATAAATAGGGTCATTTTTACACACCTGTAATCATTCATTGGGGAAAGGAGCAAAAATACCCTCGACTAAAAAGGGTAGTTTAAGGGAAACCTTTCGGAACCTAACGGGAAACATGTTATTTGATAATGCTATGCTATACTGGGCTATGAGAGACCTCGACGGTAAGCTTAAGTTAATTAAAAGATCGAGGGCTCGACAGACTTGTATCAGAGAAGGGGGTAATCCGATTGATGTAAAGGGAGAAATGAAAGAGGGTGTATCAAAAGAGGAAGGCCCGAGGAGAGCGGCAGGGAGCCTTTTCCATATTACATGTGTATATCAGAGTGTGTGTTAGCTAAAGAGACAATACGATCGTAAAATCATGATCTTTGTTTAATCATTTATACAAGTTTCATAGTACTTACCCAAAATCGATACATATGTAGAATCGCCTTTCTCGAGTGTATGGGATTCCATTATCCCGAACCAACCGTTTGGATATACCGCTGGTACATTTCCCACCATTCTCCTTTTCCGTACGGAATTTGCAATCTCCTTCATGGTGAATTTTCCTTCCGCTCGGTATCCAAGATCTCCAAGAATCCGGATCCGGTTTAACGGAACAAACAGTAAAATGTAGAGATAATATAATCCAATACTTAACAAGGCTACTGTTATATAAGTGGTCAATGCATAAAAGTCCGGCCATGTGGTCAGCAATGACACCACTCGTCCAGTTAAGGTACTAACTGACCGGTACCAGAGTTCTCCAACTTCGAAAAGGGGCACTCGAAGTAACTTTTCTGTGACACTGGCCGATACGGCTAATACTAAAACGGACAGTGAAACTCCACACAAGACAGATTTAGAAATCATTGTGAAAGTTAATGTTAACGAAAAAAAATGGAAGCACGTGTCAGTAAATACACTGAATATTATTAATTAATTACCTTACTAATGAATTATTAAACTTTTATCTAAGTACTCTCTCACACACCTCCCGACTCCAGCTCGTTATGATAAGCTGTCCTCAAGCGTTGACACTTTAAAATAAAATCCAGTTTTCTTTCGATCGACTATAAATACACGACCTCCGGAGAGCACATGTGTAGCGGTGGTTAACGTGGGTTACAATAATCCGATATCTTTAACTTGCTGTAACTAGTTGTAAAACGGTGTTCACTCAAAAGGAACCCGCCATTGACTGTGGAAATACCACCATTCAATCAATATTTCCTCACATTTTCTCTGCCTAAGTAATACAGTCGTAATCACTCTACACAACAGCGTTGTTAAAATGTCAGTGGCGTTGAAGTCTTCAATGCGTTGGCAAGGATAGTGTGTATTTTTTATGTTTGTGTAATCAAAGAACACGTGACGCGTTCCTCTCGTTATTGAAAAATGCCCATTCACTAGTGTGTGTCGTAACTTGTCCAATATTGTCTTGTCATGCTTACCGGTAACCTCACTTACACTTAAATTAAAGTTATCAACACGTTTATAATTGCTCTTTACTGTACTACCCTTAAAACTAAAGACATCCGTTTAGTGACGAAGTCAGTAATTCTCTTATATTGGTCACCAAACAATCCAGTTTAATACATGATAGCAATCACGTACTATATATACATTTAGGGTTAAAACGTTATTTCAATATTTAAACTCTGATTATAATGAGTTTGTTTGCACTGTGTATAGAAGTACCACCACGGCGTGTTATAATAACTGCATATAGAATGGGTTATACATATGTATAAACAGTATTTATTTTACAACAACTGAGAAACTAACTTCAAGCTTATATCAGTCACTTTTGTTGGCACAGATGGAAGCGCGCGAGAGGTCTTACTGTGGGAGAAATCAGGAGTACCCGGGGAAAATCCCTGCGGTCGGGCAAGTGAACCCCAGACGTTTTCACGTACATTCCGTTGGTGAAAGGCAAGTGCGTTAACACTGCGCCACCCGACCACTCCAATATAATAGTTTCATATACAAATGTTCACCGTTTAAAATGTCAACGCGTTACACCAATTCAGATTACAGTAATTATAAATGGTGTCAGTTTGCACCTGAAACAAGTTTTGTTATCGAAAGCCTTGATCACTTAACCGCTAAATTAACCTGTATATTTGTTTTCAAATCCTATAAAATCGCTAAATCTACAGTGATTCAACTTTGTTCTTTATTGTCCCGTAATTTAACCTTGAATCAATTATAACTAGTTATCTGCTCGGATTTGAACCACTTGTTTTGTACATTTAGTGACAGATACCACAAGATATTGGTTGATTATCAATACTGATGAATATTTCAATAACAATTGATTTAATTAACATTATTTTTTTATTGTTTTAAAACATGAGCTGACTATTTTGATTTGAATACCCGGCAAACTACACGTTACAGAAATGCAATAATTACCATAGAACGTTTTAGATGTTAATAATTGTAAACATGTTAAAATATTTCAGATCAAGCCATATCCTAAATCCCAGAGTCTCCTAACAGTTGTTAACTTGAACACACAACGTAACATTTACTTTATATAACTATGCAGTCATCAGCTCAAACGCCACGCCTATTTGAATTTTTCCAATTATGTGTGTTTGTTTATCCTACAAACTATTCAAGTTACCACCTTTCCCCTAAATACTGGTTCAGAAGTACACACGTGTACTCCTAGGAGACAATCGTCTACAGACGTAACGAAACTCTGCCGTTATCTTTATCCATGGTTTCTCTGAGAGTCGAAATCAAAATCATGGATAAATGTCGAACAAAACAAACAAAAAGCTGACGTCTAGTAAAACTCCAGGACGCCTGATCAATGTAAAGCAAAGTTGAATGTCTGGTCAAGTTACAGAAATATTGGACGTCTGGTCAAGTAACAGAAATTTTGGACGTCTGGTCAAGGTAATGCAATATTGGATGTATGGTCATGGTAAAGAAATATTGATATCTGGTCAACGTAAAGCAATGCTATATGTATAGTATTGGTAACGAATTTGTAGATGTGCAGTTAAGGTGAAGTTTGAATAAATGTTGAAATTTAATACGCTAGCATAGGATTTCGGTCACCAGTGTATGAACAGCATGGTTATATCGCCTCGACGCAAATAATGCCACTCCTTTCGCGATAACATTCACCAAAACGCAAACAGTGTTGACGTTACACGGTATTAGTCAATATATCAGTCCTGGTATGAATCTCAAGGTCAAAAATGTTTCGATAATATCTGTTTGCATATCCGGGAAACATTTTTTGACGCTTCGTTTTAAAAATTGATTGAAGTGTTTACGTTCTCTCAGAGAGATTAGACAAAAGACACACAAGTGAAGAGCACCTTTAATAGAAATTAGGAGGTAGATAGAGTTGAGCCAAACTATGATTTAAACTACATCATACGACTGTGACGTCTTTCGACGTCTCGTCAGTGATGCTACGGGCCTGGATTTTACATTTATTGAAAAGACTAGGGGATAGAGAATAACAGGGATTCAATATAATAAAGAGTATCGCCTTGTTTTAAGTGCTGTGGTGTTGCACAACCTAGGTATGTGAATGTCGATAACCTGATACCAGACAGCAAACCAATCAAATTTAGATTATTCAGAAACGCACCCCTTGTTTCTGTTCTCAGAACGAGGATACAGATTTTAATACTCCGACCTAGGTAAAGTGAAAGTAAAACTCGTAATGGCACATCTTTTTCTGTTACGTGTAAATACAAACAATACATTGTCTTCTGTTAGATTTATTAATCAAAGTAAACTCATTTTGGCACCAATAGTGTGCATTATATCATGTAAACTGCCTTTTACAGTAATTGTTATAAAGTCACTTTAATACTAAACATTTTACGAAAAACACACAGGTAAATAAACATCTTTTAAAACAAATATAGAGTTTGATACAGTAGAACCAAACGATGAACGAAATTGCATCATACAGCTGTTTCGTCCCTCTAGGGTTCGTCAGTGATGCTAAGGGCCTAAACTTTGAAGCCTGAGAGATGAAAGAGGAGAATCGAAAGTGATCGAAAGAAAAGTCAAAATCTAGACGGAGAGGTGCACTAGCCTCATAAAAAACCCCGTAATTTTCAGATATTAGTTAATTTTAGAACAACCTCAACAACAGGTGTTTATTGTGAACCGTGTCATTTTTTAAAAGTATTAACACGTTGCATGCAGTCCACCAGCAGTGCATAATTATCATCTTCTATTTCAAATGTCGTACAAAAGACAAACAAGTGAATAACACATTTTAAATCAATGTAGAGTTAGGTACAATAGAGCCAAAGTTTGTAACGTGAAAATGATAAAAACGAGATAATTTGTCATTTCTGTAATATGCATACCACTCTTTCATACTGAGTATTTGTGTAATTCCATTATAATTCGTACAATAGCACTGAAGGGTAAAGTATTATGTTTCTGTCTGTAATTACTGTGAATGACCTAACAACTTACAAAACGTATTTTGAACAGATTGTGCACGATTTTCATATTGTCGATCGAGCTTTGGTCTTGTAAGTCTGTAGTCTTTATATACAATTGTGTGACCTATATAGGTCTAATACAAACCATAACTATGGCTGACTTTGTGTCAGATATTGTGCCACCTATGATTTTCTATTAAACATGAGGACAAATGTTTTGCATTTTGAATCCCTCATATGATCAAACGTTTTAACCGATATTTTCGCCACGTGCTGTGATGTAATAATATGACAATCTTATGATTTTACATCTAAAATGTGACGAGTTTCGTTATTAACTAAAATTAACTGAAGAAATTGCTATCAATTGTTCTTCTTTTCAAAAAATTCTAAAAATGCCATGATATTTTTATGACTTGTTAAATTGTCGTATGATCGTTTAACTTCTGTATTTATCGTCAGGTCATGCTATGGTATGCAAGTTGAAATGTCTTTTTATAAGCCTGAACAAATAAAAAGTCGTAATCATTGCACGGTACAGTCATATTATGCTAATTTTTGTTTTTATGTGTTTACACTAAATCCTGCAGAAATGGAAGTTTACTCTTTTTTCATATATCGCTTGATACTTACCCAAATTTAATTTACATAGCACTTATTCTTCCATTAGTCTCCTTTTGTCCACGGTTTGACCCAATTTCATCGACTGTAAGTGTGCACTAAGATTCTGTTGACAGGTGAGGCTTAGGTGTCCAAGCCATGGACAGGTGTTTCTCACTTGTTACTGTAAATTGCACGATTTTGTTCATTAACAAACACCCCTGGCAGCGGATATGTCTTACATAAGACCAACTCTCGAATTGACCTCTTTTGTCTGGGTTGTGAGGAATCATTTATAAGTCAAAATACTGATACTTAATGTGTCACCTCTAAACACTTTTATTTCTACAGTGTCAGATTCACAATATCTATATAACACCCCAAATTATATCATTTATTCGCTTTTCCCGAGAACTGATTATTCTCGCTTTCTTATTTCTTTCATACCATACTTTTGATGACTCTAGCCTTTTATTCATATAAGATATATTTAAAATATCATGTATCCCCTTTACAATGAGATGAAGGAACCTGCTGACATATTTGTGGGAAAAAATGACATCACCTTCCGCCACTGAATGTACCTGAAACGATGACTTAAAAGTGATTCATTCCATTTATTTTGTATCATCTACATACGTGAGGATTGCTATCACTATGAGAGTGATTATCATTATTTTTTATCACCATTTCTGAGTTTCCAGATTTGATTATTTCGTTAACTTGTAAACATCGGAATTTAGTTTGTCTCTCATCTCAGTATTATTCGAAGATGATATCCTAAACTTTTCTTCGTAACAGACAAAAACATCCGCACTGGTCAGCTGAGTTACGTAG